TTTAAAAATTTTAAAATTTCATAACTGATATTATATGCAATCCTTTTTAATAAAAATTACATATCTGAAATCTACAAATGAGATTTATCAAAATAAGATCAATATTGAATACACAATTTTGTAAAAATAAAATATTAATTTTTTAGTTGTACCAATTTGAGAATTTCTTAGTATGCGAATTGAATTTTTTTTAGGGTTTTTCTAGTTTTAAAATTGAGAAATTTTTGTAGTTTCGCACAGTAATGTTCTATACAGTTATTTCTACAAATAATTATTCTTTTATTTTTGAGTAAAATACAAATACATCCCCTAATGTTTGCTTAAAATACGGCCCCTGTGGTTATAAAAATTACATTTCGCCCTTTCAAATATCTAATCACATAACAAATAACTCATTTTATCAAAAAATTATCAAGTCAATTAACAGTGTTTAATGAGATTAGAATTATATTTCAATTAACAGCTTGGATAATTTTATTATATTATAGGAGAATAGTTAGGAATTTTATTTTTTCTATTAATTATGTAAATAAAAAATTATGACAATTGAGTATTTGTAATTTTTAGAATCACAAAAGGCAATATGTATTTTAAACAAATCTCAGAAAGTATAATTTTAATTTACTCTTTATTTTTATATTCAATATTGGTCTTATTTGATATATCTCGAGAAGTAGAATCTAAAAATATAAATTTTATATATAAAATGAAAAAATAGGTGTGTAATATAAAAATTATGACATTTTGAAGTTTAAAATATAAAAAATACCAATTTCGCCACAACATCAAGCGTTTGCATCCTTTCCCTTTTTAATTGAGGACAACTAAAAAAAAAAGCACTTCTTAAGATTAAAAAACTGTACTTGGACCTTACCTTAATAACACAACCTCACCAAATAAGAGTTGTAGGTAACTATTATTATTATTATTCCTTAAATACTTGTAAACTTATGTAAAAGTAAGAATATATAAATTTATTCACAAACATTTTCTAAAAAAACCCTTTAAATCATTTATTGAGAGGAAAAAGTAGTTAAAAAAAGTGATCTATTAATATTCTCTGTATATTTATTTATTTTTACAACAAGTGGAAGGTAATTTATAAATATTATGATATTTACATGAAAATTAGTAAAAAAAATAAGTCTAAAAATATATTATCCCAAGCATACAAAAACTTTAACAATTACACAAATCACACAAGAAAACCCTTAAACAATATAAATAGGGATTTGACATAACGATTGTGTAGCACGACTTTATATTATAAAGTTGTACTTTCAAATTTTATGAATAGAAATCTAGTACTTTTTCTGTTGCCCCTTCCCCTATTAGCAAGTGACTATTGATGTATATTATGTGGAAAAAAAAATAATTTCTCGCAATATAGGAGGAGGAGATTCGCACGAAAGGTGGAAGAATCAAATTAGAATCTCTTAGGTTGTGTTTAGTTCATAGATTTAGAAAGGAATTTAAAAAAGAAAAAGAAAAATATATGTGAAATATAATTATATTTTTCACATATATTTTATCTACCTTTTCTTTTTTCTTTCTTTTTCTAAATCCTTTCTAAATCTATAAATCAAACACAACCTTAAACAGGTTCAATAACTTCGGCTAAGAGACTCTCCTTTGTTTCACCCTCTATAATTGACCCCTAATCTATTAAATGAAGTGCAAAAACTTCTAGTCAACACTCTATTTTTGGTTTCACACACTTTCTAACGGTTAGGTGTTGCAGTAAAATGGCCATATTTACCATACATGATACACTATTAAAGTTTAAATATTGCCAGTTATTTGAATATTGATCATTAAATTTGATTCTTATTAGAGTGGCATTCTATGAAGCACGAATACTTCAAATAGGATGACGTATCCGTATTGGATGCCGATACTCCTTGGATATGCGTGAATATGTATCGAATATTTATTAAAAGTGTCAAATACTTCTTAATTATTTTTTCATTAATTTTGGAGTATCGGACACTTAATTTTGAAGTGTCGGATACTCCAAGTCATGTTTACTTGTTTTATGAAATTAGAATTGTAACATTTCTTGTATAGTAATGTAATATAATATAATTGCAAGTATAAATATAAGAATATTTTTCTAATACTTGGTTAAGTTTTTCGATAAGAAGAGCATAGTGAGTTAAATAATAGAATTTATCAAATTGATGTATCCTAATTATTTCATGCATTTCCCTTATAACTACATAGAAAGCAAGAATTAACAAGAGAATATAACAATGGTAAAATTAAATATCAATTAATAAAAAAGTAAGTAAACTTAAATACAACATTTTTTACTAGTGCCAAAGAGAAAAGCATAGGAACAAGTTGTGAATTGTTTTATTATTATAATATAAATATAGTAGACTTCATATTGAAATAAAATATGGAAAAAGACTAAGACCCCCAGTGGGAGTGACCCCCACCACCCCCACTGTTTTTTGATTGGTCCAAATTATTTTTTTATTTTTTATTTTCAAAGTGTTGGTCTCACAGCCCCCCACGTGGAGGTGGGGGTGCTGGGGGTCCCCAGCACTGCCGCTCTTTTTTTCTTACGAGGAGTCTTCTATTATTTCATGTATGTCTCCTATAACTACATAGAAAGTAAGAATTAACAAGAGAATATAACAATGGTAAAATTAAATATCAATTAATAAACAAGCAAGTAAACTTGAATACAATATTTTTCACTAGTGTCAAAGGAAAAAACATAGGGACAAGTTGTGAATTGTTCTATTATTGTAATATAAATATATTAAACTTGATATTGAAATGAAATATTTGCAAGACCTATTAAAAATTTAAAAAGTAAGCAAACTACTAACTTAAATTAGTACAAATTTCTTAAAAGTAAGTATTTGACATTCACTACAAGAATTTACACATTTGCCGACCACTTTTACCGACCAAAAAAATTTTGGTCGCGAAAAAATGACATTTGCCGACCAAAATATTAATTAGTCGCGAATGATAATTATTTTTGGCGACCAAAATGAGTTGGTCGCAGAAGGTCACATTTTGGCGACCAAAAATGAGTTAGTCGCAGAAATTGGTATGCTTTTGGCGACCAACTTCAAATTTGGTCGCGGAAGGTTACATTTTGGTGACCAAAAAAAATTAGTCGCCAAATTAGTACTTTTAGCGACTAATGTTTTAGTCGTTGTTGATTGAGATTTGGCGACTAAAAAAATTTGTCGGCGAAGGTATCTTTTCTGCGACTAATCTGGTCATTTGGTCGCGAAAAGTTTGGGAGGGAAATTTGAAACATGGAGGGGGAAATGAAAATTTTTTGCGACAGAAAAAAATTTGGTCGCCAATTAGAAAACGACGTCGTTTTGTACCTGGAAAACAGAAAAAAAAAATAAAAAAAAGGCCCTGCTCTCTTCTCTGTCTCCAACTCGCTCTCTGTGTAGTATGTTCATCCGCCCTCTCCCTTTCTCTGTGTTCTCTCTCTCAATCGGTGCCCACTCTCTCTAGCTCACCGAAGTCCCTTACCACCATTGCTCACGTCCGTCGCACATCGCCATCGCCATCGCCCTCTGTCTAATGGACTCCTCATTTCTGGGGGATCCTCACCCAATCTCACCTCACCGCTGTTTCTCGCTCTCTTCCCTCTCTAGCCTTTGTCCTCGGTCTCTCTCTATCTCTATATATATATATATAATGCGGTGATCATCCGTACAGAGAGGGATTTGAGCCCTGATTGATGATTTTGAAGAGGTTTGTCATGATTTTGCGGTATGATTTTGAGTTCGGTTCGGTTCGATCCTCTGTTCAGTTCGCGATCTGGGCGGTGGGCAGTGAGTTCGGTTCGATCCTCGGTCGCGATCTAGGCCGTGGTTCAATCCTCTGTTCGGTTCGAATCTCAGTAAGTTTGAGTTCAGTTGTGTGTTTGTTTTAGTGATGTGGATGATGGCTAATTGAAATGAGATAATTTGATTTTAGGGTTTTTTTTTTTTTTTGACGTGTTATTGCTTTGAACTTGAGATAATGCCAAAAATAAATAAATAAATAAATCACTACAAGAAATTTTTGAATTAGTGGCATGGCGGAGTAGGTCAATAAAATGTAGTGGTGTTTAAAGTATTATGTCGTTTAGGCTACATTTTTTTATAGGCCACCAATTCTTAACGGATTTTTACCATTGTCAGTCAAGAGTTAAAAAGTAACCTCCTTTTCTTTTAGTTAAAAAAAAAATTAGTGACATCATGAAGACATTTTGTAAACACCATATTTTAAAAATAAATAAATAAATAAAATATTATTTAACAAATAGGAAACATAATAAGCCATTATCAGTCAAACCCATTACCAATCTCCATTTTAAATATGCCGTGATCACTTTCAATTTTCAAAATATAAGTTAGAATGCGTCCATTTTCAATTGCTCATAGAAATTTCAAAGCATTCATTATAATCCATGACTAGTCTCAATTTTTATGTGCTCATAATAGCAAGTCTAAATTCATCAACACAACACAATCCATTAGAGAAGTTTAATACGCGAAAATTGTCAATTGCCTTCAAACACATCAGTTTTCCTACAACAAGAATGTTAAAAAACCATGTATGTATTTGTTGATATCTACTGTGATAGAACACTTATATTTGATGATACCTAGCATGATATTAACATTTGTAATGGTGCAAAACAATTTATGTGGATCAGTGGGTTCGTTTGGGAAGTGGGTTGGTTTTTTATATTTTTTTAACTATTTTAGTCTGGGGTTAAAAAGTCTCAGTTGGAAAGGACTTTTTTTTTAAAAAACTTTTGTGAGAGAAAGAATGTAATAATTATGGGTTTGATGTGATGTTTTGTCTTATTGAACTAAAAAGTCTATTTTGTCTTTTTGTGGCTAAAATAGCCCAACCCTGCTTCCCAAACAAAGCCATATGAGCTTAAAATTCAAGCTCCAGTTTGTTTATTTAGTAAGCAAACTGAGTTTAAACGAGCCTTAAACAAGTCGGACTCAAGTTTGGGAATTTTGGCCCATCCACTCATTTCAAGCCTTTATTCCTAGTCTTATCTTTAAGCCTTATACAACCTTCATTGGACACGCAAAAAGAATTTTGTTGATTTATAATTGCTTAGCATAAAGTGTCTTGCTCTCTCATAATTTTTGAATTACTTGGATTGACATGTGTTTTCATGCAGCTGTCCCGATTACTTGGCTTTTGAACAATCATTTCTTCTTCCTAGTCATCCTTAACGAGTCCAAAATGTTTATTTAATTATTTATTTATATTTTTTTTCCTCTCTTCTTGTGTAGCTGGAAAAGGAGATAATAGATCTGACTCTGCAACGAGACGTTGCTCAATCTCAGGTTCAGGATTTGCTACGATTGGCTGGGGATGAAGATTCAATGGTATGGCTAAATGTTAGTTAGTTAATTGAATCTTCCATTCTATCTTCATGTGCCTTGTCCTGTTAAGTTTCCTTTCTTCTTTCCTCTTCCAGGTAGGTTTGAATAACTACCCTCACTTGCGAGTTCAGAAATCACCAGATTCTGGAAATGCAACATCAAAAGCATCCCCTTCATCATATCCTCACTCCTTGGATGTTGGTGTCAGAGCATTTGACAGATCTCTGTGTTCTTATGGACGTGTGAGTAGTTTTGTTGATCACTACATACAAATTCCCAACTTTGAAGAAAACTTTCAGCAGAATGATGCTTCTCCACACCTATTGGTCACTACTGCTAACTTTATTAGAAGCAATTCCGCAAATAGTTGGGACGAGATTAAGGAACAAACTAACGGAACTTTAGAGGATTTATGCAAGGACGTTCGATGCATTGAGACGGTAAGTACAGACCAAAATTCAGAATCCTATAGATCATCCCCTGAAGAAAATACCAGAATCTCAGAATTGATGATGGATGAGAATGGAGACAAAATGGATCAGGAAGACAGAACAGATCAGGAATTTGTGTCACAGCCAAACGAGGAAGATAGAGGGTTAAGTTACATCCCTCATTTCGTTGCTCCTTCTCATGAAATAACATCTCCGTGGCCGTTAAGAAAGTATATATGTAGCTCTCAAAGCTTGCAATTAACTAGAAGTAGCAGTTGTAAAGAAAGTTTAATGACTAGACCATATTCACCATTGTTTGAGAATGTAGAAAATAATGAGAACACACCACCAAATGGGTTTGAGAGAGTCTTCACCCGAAGACCTGAAGGTATCCGTAGTAAGCTTTCTGAATTAAACCGTGGTGCTGATGTTGAGAGGTTATTGAGAAAAGGTTCAGAATCTTCTGTCGGGAGTGCTGCTGCTATTGAGCTTGAAGCACAGGACGACGCACTGCCAAATGGGTTTGACACTACAACAAAAGTAACCTATGGTGACGAAAACTAGTGAAGAAAATAAAAGGTGTCGATGCTGAAATGTTTTTGAGAGAAGATTCTCAATCTTTTGATGAGAGTGATGCTGCTATTGAGCTCAAAGCAGAATCACAGGACCAAATTTCAACTAATGAGAATATTACTAGCATCAATTCAAGTGTCACAGAAATGGAGGAAAAGGCTGAGCTTCAGCACGAGGAGCAAGTTTCTGATAGCCTGGTGAGTTTTATACTTAATCGAAAAATGGCCGTAAAAAGTTATGCCTCAAAACATTGCCATGGCAAGAATTTTTGAACGAAACCTAGAGTTCCTTTTACTTGTCATTTTACGTTTCGTCATTCCTGGCAGGTGCATGAGGCTGAACCGAAAGCCATGGAATCTATAAAAAGTGTGAAAGATGTTGGTTTGGATCCAATAGAAGATTATTCAATTTCAAAGAGTCCTTCAAACTGGCCCTTAGAATTCAAGAGGCTACAAAGAGAAATTATTGAACTTTGGCATGCTTGCTATGTGTCATTGGTGCACAGAACCCACTTCTTCCTTCTATTCAAAGGTGACCTGACAGACTCCAAGGGATATTGTTGCTAATGTGAGGCGTTTGTTGAATGGTGAGCAACTGGTGCCGATGGAAAGGGTTCGGAGGAACCATTGAGAAGACAGCAACCAAAGAAGCTGGGGTTAGCTACACTGTGTGGAATTATGGAGGAAATCAACGAATCTACACTTAGGATTACAGAGCTGCCTATACGACGATGGACTGAAGATTATAAAGAATTTCTTGAATCAATTATGACAGGAAATGATAAAATCAAGAATTTCATTGATTTTCCTTTTAATTTTTGTTCAATTATTTATTGGTTTTCAATGGATGGATGTTTAAAACTTGTCTCAATTAATGTTTTGAATGAAATGATTGCAAAGTTTGGGATTGAGCAGGAAAATGTGATGAATTTTAATGTTATATTTGGGTTGATGAATTTTAATGTTGTAATTGGGTTGGGTTGAATGAATTTTGTTCAATATTGGATTGAATGTTTATAAGCAAAAATTCATTGTTAAAAAAAAGAGATTTGGCGACTAACTAATTAGTCGTTGATTGTTTAATGTCTTTTGGCGACTAAATAATTGGTCGCCAAATTCTACACTTTTGCGACTAAAATCATTAGTCGGCAATTCCTTACCTTTTGGCGACTAAATTATTAGTCGGCGATTCCTCAACTTTTGGCGACGAAAACAATTGGTCGCCGATTTTTTGCTTTTGGCGACAAACATATTTGGTTGGGAAAATATCACTTTTCGCGACCAAAGTGTTTTAGCGACTAAATGAATTAGTCGCAGTAATGATATATTTAGCGACCAAAAATTTAGTCGGCAAATCCAACTTTTGCCGACCAACCAAAATTTTGGTCGCGAATTACTTTTGCCGACCCTCAATTGGCGACCAAAGTAGCGACCAAAAAAATTGGTCGCGGATAACTTTTGCCGACCAAAAATGGCCTTTTAGCGACCAATTTTTTGGTCGGCAAAAGCGTTAATTCTTGTAGTGATTATAAAATTACATTGTGGTTTCTCAACGTTCTTTAGCTTATGTGTAATTCACTATTAATAATTTTAAAAAATATATTTTTGACAAACGTATCCTAGCCGTACCGATATCCTATTTTTTTAGGTTTTGTAGTATCGCCGTATCCGTATTGTGTCATATCCGTATCTCGTATCCGTATCTATGCTTTCTAAGTGATATTTATTAAATAATATTGAATTTTGATTTATTTTTGTAATATTTTTCTTTTTTTTGAATATATCTAAGTAAAAAAAATTATCGAATGTGTCGCAAATGAAAAAATAAAACCCACATGTGTTCTACCGCTATGTTTCTAACATGTGTTTAACATGTGATTTTATGCATCTTTGGGACTAAGCTACCTTTATTTAAAGAGACAAATTCTATTTTATTTATGGGGTCTTTAATTTTTTTCACCTATAATTATTTTATTGTATTTTGAAATTAAATTGTTGTTTAAGTTGCAATTTAGTGCACTAATAAACTCTCTTGAATTCTTGTTGGTCACCATAGTTAATAGTTTAGTAATATTATACAAAATTAATTTTATTTTTTTTATACAAACATAGTGAGGTTCACACTTATACATATTATGTGGTAAGAAAATGTGATAAAAATTCATTTATATATAATATTTTTCTAAATAATTTAAACATCTAAATAATAACTTCAGCAGAAGATACTTTTTACACCAAAATTTTGAAATGCATAATCACTGTATGATTGATCGAAGTCATGTTGACCAATTTAAAAAGTATAAATTATATTTTTTCATTCTTATAATTTAATTTAAATCTCACTTTAATCTATATTATTTTAATTTAAACAATTTGATTCATACACCTTAAATTTAATTTCAATTTGGTTAATTTCGCCTAAAATTTTGTTTTCTTAATTTTCCCTAAAATTTTGTTTTCTTAATTTTCATTATCCATGCACATGAAATTGACAAATGTTTTTAATATCATTAATTTTAACCTTTTTGAAAATATAAAATTGATAAATGTTCTTAATATTGTTAATTTTATACAAAATTAATTTTATTTTTTTTATACAAAGATAGTGAGGTTCACACTTATACATATTATGTGGTAAGAAAATGTGATAAAAATTCATTTATATATAATATTTTTCTAAATAATTTAAACATCTCAAAATAACAACTTCAGCAGAGGATACTTTTACACCAAAATTTTGAAATGCATAATCACTGTATGATTGATCGAAGTCATGTTGACCAATTAAAAAAGTATAAATAAATTATATTTTTTCATTCTTATAATTTAATTTAAATCTCACTTTAATCTCTATTATTTTAATTTAAACAATTTGATTCATACACTTTAAATTTAATTTCAATTTGATTAATTTCACCTAAAATTTTGTTTTGTTAGTTTTCATTATCCGTACACATGAAATTGACAAATATTTTTAATGTTATTAATATTAACCTTTAACTTAAAAATATGAAATTGATAAATGTCCTTAATATCGTTAATTTTAAATGTTATTAATTTTAACCTTTAACTTAAAAATATGAAATTGATAAATGTCCTTAATATCGTTAATTTTAACCACCTTTAACTTGAGCAGAAAAACAAAATTTAAATTGTAAAGAATAATTTGTGTAGTTTAACATACTAGAGACCAAACTAAAATTTTTATAAAATTACTGAAATCCAAAGTGTAAATTATCCTATACTATCTAAAAAAAAATTTAAAAAAAAAAGTGTAAATTATCCTAGCTAGATCCTAGTACTGGCTGAGTTGTGAGTCCAAATCCAAAAGGAAACAGTGGATCATAATGTGAATCTCCAACATTCATTGGAAGCTGATCTACAGTCCTGAACCATGTCCTGGCAAGCTTACCAGTAAATCCATAGTCCCCGAAAAGCGCGTCCGCCACACCTTGCCCTTCACTGCCTGGTAGCCAAGCAGCAACAAGAGCATCCATGGATGAAAGGTAGGGTTCAATCACGAGAGGCCGACCAGAGATGAGGATTACAACGCATTTCACGCTCTCGCATACGTTGGAAATTGTACTTAGGCCCGGTTCTGGAATTGTTAGGTTCAAATTGTCTCCGGCTGTTTCAGCGTATGGAAACTCTCCCACCACTACAATGGCGTAAGACAACTTGGCGGATTTCACAAAATCAGCTTCTGGGTTCTCGCTGTAGATGATTTCTGTGCTTGGGTCCACTGCCGTTGAGATTGCATTCAATATGGTTGTTCCTGTAAATTTTAAAAGAGAGATAGAGAGAACAATCTTGTCAACAAACTATAATTTGCATAGGTTGACATGCAAAAGTCTAAAAGTAAACCTATGTCTACGTACTTTTCTTCTTTTTATTCAAATGTTGGTATTTGTCTCATGTGTGTCACTATTGTTGTGTTAATTTTCTGTGTTAAAAGTTTGGTGTTTGAAGGGAGACATAGCCCTACATGTTTCTATCTCATGCAATTCTTCTCGATATTAAAAGGTCACTATTTGACTTATATGATGATGCGATTGTTTTATACACTTTTTCTCTATATTACAATATCGGTATTTGTTTCATGTAATTGTTTATGAACTTTTCCTTCTATCAAAATATCAATATTTAAAAGGAGAAATACACCAGAGTTTAAATGTTCACATGACACCAATGTGAGTGTAGTGTATCATGTGTCTGTTCTACACACTTTTTCCTATGTCACAAGGTCGGTATTTGATTTATGTGACTGTTCTGTGCAATTTTTTTGTAAAAAGATCGGTATGGTGTTTGAAGGGAGACATACCGCTAGTGTGGTTGTTGCCGCTAAGTCCCTGCCATGAAATGGTCCAACCACCGCATTGATAGCCCAAATTGTTGGCATGGGTTCCGGCAACTAGGATCCGATTAGGGTTTCTGGGGAGAGGAAGCAAAGGACTATCTGTATTGTTCCCATTCTTCAACAAGACGAGTGATTTCCTCACAGCTTCTCTTGCCAAGTCCCTATGAGCCTGTTCAATCAAACATTATGATACCACTTCTCAAATCAAGGTGAATCGTTTGCGAAAAAACAGTTTAAAGAAACAACCCATTTTTTAGAAAACATCAAAAAGTTGCTTTGATTTTATTTTTTTTTTGTTGATCGGGTGTCCGGGTCAATTTATGCACGTCTTGACTAATTCCGAACTCACGCAAAAAGCAAAAATGCTACCATAAAAAAAAAATTTAAAAAAACTGTTTTTGCACAAAAATAAAAACAATATGAAAAGGAGTGTTGTTGAACATTTCGTTATTTTGTTTTTGAAAACATATAAAACAAAAACGAAATGCAAAATGTAGATGGTACTGACTTGGCTTCCAACTTGATCAACCATGCTGAGATCTGCCAAGGGGTTTTCAAAGAGACCCATAGTGAACTTGACCCTCAAAATCCTTCTGACAGCATCATCAATTCGACTCATCGGTATGACATTGTCATTCACCAAACCGGTCAAAATGTCGATGAATTCAGTATGATTGAAAGGTACCATGACCTGAAAAACAAAAACAAAAACAAAAAAAACCAAAATCACCCATTATATAATATGTATTCATTTGTTGTGCATTTGTCTATAATGCTCCATTTGTTGTGGTAAAATAATTTCTGAAAAAAAAAGAAAATGAAGACAGTCAGTGTTACTTGAAAAGTGGAAAATATTTTTCAAATAATGCCTTGTCAACCTTATCAATGCCACCACACTGCCCCGCTACCATTAACACCAATACTAACACATCAGTTTTTAAATTGCATAGAAGAACATTTTCTGTAGAAAATATTTTTTGAAAAAAAATTGTAAATTAATTTTTCTTTTCTGACAAAACAAACAGAGCGTAAGATGTTATAGTATCATAGGAAAAATTGAGCAACTCACCATGTCAATGCCAGCTGAAATCCCAGCTTGAACTGAGTATGTGTAATTTGCTTTGACAGGTGTGGTGATCTTGTCAATGCCTGCCCAATCCGAGATGACAAAACCCTAGCCGAACAAAGTTAGCACGGTCATTGCTAATTATATAAGTTTATGACTAGAAAATTTTTGAATATCAAAATTACAAGTGAAGTATCATTCTCTATAAATACCCTGAACTTTAGGGTGTCTTTGAGGAATCGGGTGACAAGATCGTAATTAGCGTGCATCTTGACTCCGTTCAAACTGGAATAGGAAACCATGATTGTAGAAACACCCTTGATGATGGAGTTGTAGTAGGCAGGCATGTGGATGTTGAGCAAGCCGTGCCAGTCGATGACAGTGTTGTTTTCATTGATACCCTCGGTGGTGCCACCATCTCCCACAAAGTGTTTTGCACAAGCAGCAACCTTATTCCTTTCAAAATGCAACCATAAAATATTTATATATAATAAACGGCAAAATACACATATAACTACTAGCCGTGGGTGCAAATGTGTTTGTAATTTTACAGCTAAATGCTTTGGCAATTTAATGAATGAGAAAGAAGGTATGAACTGTATGTTGTATATAATAGAAGAGATATATAAGGTTGGTTAAGTGTACTTACTTTCCAGCAACATAAGGAACACCATTCGTTGAATTGGTGGGGAGTTCGCCTTGTAAGCCTGATATGATTTCAGTCATTTGTTGAACAATTTTGTGATCCTCACTGTAGCTTTCATAGCACCTACCCCATCTTGGATCTCTGCATACCTGTTTTATATAAACATGCATTGTGTGTTAACTTGAAAATCAATTTCAGAAATCAAATGGGCATTGTTATCAGTACTATGTATATATATATACTAGTTGTGAGTGCAAACGTGATGCATTTGCAATTTTACACCTAAATTTATTTTACTGAAGCAATTAATAATATGGACATTCTTGGAAAAAGAAAAAAAAAAATTGACAGTTTCAAAACCATTCTGAGTTTATGTTTTTTATATGATAGAATAGATATGTAATTTGGTTTCTGAAGAATGTACGTACGGCAATACAAGGAGCAAAAACATAAGGAATGCCAGTAGCTCTGACTTCAAGTGCGGTTGCAGCACCAATTCTCTTCACAAGATCTGGATCCCTGCAATTTGTGCTATCATTTTCAAAATTTCTGGTTCTTGTTTTTCATGTTTGACAAATAAAAAAGAATGAAAAAGATGTTCTCATTGTTAATTATCCAATCATAATGCATGATTGATTTAACCTATGATTCACTGCAAATACTAAGCTAAAATTCTTGATAATTCAAAACACAATTTTAAAGGATTGTAGGGTAACTTACCTGGTAACTCCAAGGCCAACATTATGGGGGAAAATAGTGGCCTTATAGACATTGTTGTGGCCATGAACAGCATCTATACCATAAAGCATGGGAATCCCAAGCCGGCTCGAAAGAGAACCCTTCTGAAACTCATTCACCATCGTCACCCAATCCTCCACGTTGGCATTAGTCATGGGCAAGCTTCCTCCGCCGCTCAGCAAGCTGCCAAGGGAGTAGTTCCTCATCACCTCAGGGGTAGCACTGGCCCTGTCAATCTGTGTCATCTGAGCTATCTTCTCTGCCAGAGTCATCCTGCTCATCAGGTCCTTCATTCTTATGTTGATGGGCTGCTTTGGGTCCTTGTACTTCATCATCATCATGCAGTTTTCTTCTACTGATGATGATGATTCTGCTGATGTTGCAGTAACCATGAGCATGACAGTACTAGTCCATATTATGCATAGGAACAGGATTAAGAGGATTGGTGCCCTTGGTGCCCCTGCCATCCCTATAAAACCTTTTTTTTTTTGGTTTTTATGTTCTAAATCTGAAACCAAAAGCAGTTAAACATCAGAATCTTGCATTTCTGGAGAAAATATTTTCTTATTTTTAGTGATGGTGGGATGAAGGTGGAGATGAAGGTGAAGGTGGTGTGGCGGTGGAAGTGATAATAGCGGTAATATTGTAGTGATATTGGTACGAGTTTAGTTCAAAAAAACGTTTTCCACTTTTTCTGCTCAAATATGTTAATTTTTCGTTGATTATCGTTTTCTATTGGACCAAACCCTAAAAAATATAGAAAATATTTCAAAAAAATATTTCTACCCAAACAAATGGACATTAGTATGCTTGCACTTTCACCAACCAAAATCTCACTTTGAATACTTTACTTTTTGTAAGGTTGACGAAATTGACCTTATTAAGGTTAGATAGACAGATGAGTGAGATTGGAAATGGATTTAAAGTGTAAATGATTAATTGTTACCATTGAAAATGAAGGAATCAAAATAAAATTCTGATAAAAATACATGGGTGTTAAAATGTAATTTTATATTTTTTAAAAACAAGAATATTGCAGGTTGAAGAAAAGAAAAGGTGGTGTTGTTTGCATGATAGTGGTGTATAAAAGTAAAAGTAAAAATAAAAATAAAAATAAAAAACTAGACTAATTAATTTCAATCACAGTGTAATGGTACGGGAACATCAAACAAAATGTATCACAAATGAGCGTCACAATTATAATTTTTTTTTTTAAATTGTTAATATTAAATTGTCAATATCGTAAGTCTCAATTGATATTTAAAATATAATTAAAATAAGAAATTTGAAATGGAGTAAATATAGTTAGGCCAAGTTTGGCATGTCTTGAAAAAGAAAAAAAATTAAAAAGTCACTATCCTATTTAAGTCACATCATCTTATTTAAATCACATCACCTCTGTTACACATCACTTCAAACCCAACCTAAACCCAACCTATATTTCATAAAAAGTCAAAAAATACACTTATTTAGATGTTCTCAAACAACCTCTTAGTGTTACTTTTATTTTGGAGAGATTATTGTTTCCCTGATTGAAACCCACATCACCAAGGACACTAAATACTAACAAAAAGTAAAAGAGCATGAGTGGATTGAGATTTACATATCTAAACTGGCTTTGAAGGACATGGAAAGAACGCAACATAAATTAAACAAATAATTGATATAGAATAAAGAATAAAGGTTGAGACCCCCTTTGGGGGTCACCCTTTGACCCCTTTAGTTTTGATTGGTCAATTTTTTTTTTCTTTTTTTTTTGTTTTCTTCTCACCCAATCCCCAACCTCCATGTGTGTGAGGGGATTGTGGGGTAGGTGTTTTAAGAGGGTCTAAATCAATGCCCATAGAATAAACATGAAAGGAAAAATAAATAAATAAACAAAATTTGACAATTGAAGATTACATCTAGTAGTGGAGAGATCAGTGAGAGAGGTATTATGTATATGTATATATGTATATAATTATTTACATACAAGTGAAGAATTTTTTTTATTTTAATAATTCCATATGCAATTTACTCCAGGACAAATGTCACCATCCACATACAAATAAAGTTATAAATACTAGAGCAAACCAACCAATGAAAGTGAGGACAATACAAAATTTAATTCCATGACCCCAATAATGATGTCACAATGACATTTAATCAACAAATTTTAAACCACACAATTTAAAGAAGAATAAAAGAATATGAATTGAAATTTTTTTGTAAATCTTTTGACATTGTCATAATAAAGGATAAAGAAATACTAAAAAAGAAGATAAAAACAGAAGAACCTAATCTGAGGAAAGAAAAAGAGAGAAGCATGTCACTCTCAAGAAGCAAAAGTGATGCCACAATGATAGAGATCACTAATTTTGGAGTTTTAAAAAGATTATTAATGACATGACACTCAATAAAAAAAGAAAAAAAATACAATATCAAGATCAAATCATTCATGGTGAGGCCTACTGTCACATCATTAGGCCCATCACATCATGATGGAAGGTGTTTTGGGAATTATTACTCTGTACCCTCGAGTACAGGGACTAGGTGTTGCATATGCATTATAGGAGTGATCTCAACCGTCCACTGGGTTGACCATTGTTATGACTTTTTATTGGACCATTGGATTTAGATGAGTAGATATACCAAAATGGATACAGGTATATGTATGTGAATAGGGTTTAAATGTTGATTTTGGATAAGGACACGTCCTCATCCCTAAACTTAAAAAAAAAAATTATATCTATCTCTCTATCTCCTAAATTATCTCTAACACGTGACTAAAATCTCACTATATTTGTTTTGATTTAATTATATGACAAAACAAATTTGAGAAGAAAAAAAAATGAATAGAGGACATGTATACATTTTTTTATTATTATTATAGAATTTTTAAGTTGAAAAACTGTTATATTATTTTAAATTAACAGTTGGCCTGTGCGTTGCACGAATTAATTTTCATAAAATAATATTTTATGTTAAAATATATGTGTTACAAAATAATAATTTTAATTTTAATTTAAAATTAAAGTGTTAATTTATTTATTTATTTCGATAATCTTAGTTCTAACGTTTTATAAAAATGTTACTTGAATACTTATGTTTAATAATTTTAATTAAATTATTTGTGTATTTTGATTATTTTAGGCCTGTCATGTTATAAAAGTATAATTATCGTATGAGAATATTATATAATATATATTAAATTATAAGATAATAAAATAAATATTCATTTTGATATTAAAAATAATAGTTAAATTAGAAGGAGAATTAATGATGCAAAATTAAAAGTAATTCTAATATTTAATTTTCTTTTATATTCATTTAGAAAATAAAAATATGTAGAAATAGAATCTATATAAAATTTATCGAAAAAATTAAATATAAATATGTTGTAGTTAGATTATCACATAATGATTTTATATAATGGCCTTGTTTGGTAGAGTTTATTTCCAGCTTATTTCAGCTTTTAGCATAATTTAAGCTATTTTGATGTGTTTGGTTTAGCTTAACAATACAGCTTATAACTTTTTATAAGGAAAAAATCAACTTATTTTTTGAGTGGAGGGGAAGAAACTTAATTTATAAGTCAAAAATCAACTTATGTTCACTTTTCCACAACTCTATCAAACGTGACCAATATATATTAAATTATAAGATATTTATATGATTTTATATGATATATATTAAATTAAAATATCAACTACATGAAATAAATTGAACTAACAGAGAAAAAATCTCATAACATCTAAACTAAAAAAGAAAAAATAAATGAAAACATACAAACGATAGATACATCTCAATGCTTGAAAGTGATTAATCATATGTAATATAATATCAAAACATAGAAAAACTTACTGTTTAGCAATTGAAAAAGTAACTTAAGAGATTCTTCAGAGGTTCTTTGAGAATATTTGTGTATGTTTTTCTTATTGTAAGTTGTGATTATATATAAAATAATGTAGGAAAGATTTTGTACAAAGTATAATCCATATGGAATTTGTAGTTAGATTTCATGTATAACTCAAATTAGGTTTGTAAAAGAAGTATTTCTCAAATAGGAGTTCATATAAAATAGATAAAATTAATATAATTTAAATTGAATTTGAGTTTGTGTATAACTCTATTTGTAAACAAAAATATACACTGATATGATTTTTTTTATTTTTCTTATTTTTATAGTAAGCCTTGAGAAAAGCACTACTTTTTTATAGGATGATATATGCTTTTAGAAGGAAAAAAAATTGCATATATTTTTTATTTATTACAGTACATTACTCAAAAATGAATTTTTACACTACTGTTTAACAATTGAAAAAATAACCCAAGCAATAAATTCAAACTTCAAAGGTTCTTCGAGAATATTTGTGCATGTTTTTCTTATTGGGAGTTGTGATTATATATAAAATGATGTAGGAAAAATTTTGTACAAAGTATAATCCATATAAAATTTGTAGTTAGATTTCATGCATAACTCAAATTATGTTTGTAAAAGAAGTATTTCTCAAATAGGAGTCCATAAAAAATAGGTAAGATTAGTATAATTTAAATTGAATTTGAGTTTGTGTATAACTCTATATGTAAATGAAAAATATATACTGATATGATTTGTTTCTCAGTAAGCCTTGAGAAAAGCACTACTTTTTTATAGGATGATATATGATTTTAGAAGGGGGGGGAATTGTATATAATTTTTATTTATCACAGTACATTACTCAAAAATGAATTTTTCCTCACCAAATCACTTAAATATATTAATTATCATTGTATGTAATCATACACTCAAAATAACTACCATAACTATATCCGCATATATATGAATTGAACAAACAGGAATTAGGCTTCGTTAACACCAAAATCATATATCATAATCACCAAACAAACCCGAATTAGGAATTTTCTCTACAAATCAACTCAAAACAATTAGTTTTCCAAGAACAGAGCAGAGGATAATAGATGCGATTGTGAATCATCGATATCAATTCTTGACAGGTTGAGTTGTCAGACCAAACCCGAATGGGAACAGAGGATCATAATGCGAATCACCCACATTCATCGGCAACTGATCAACCGTCTTGAACCAAGTCCGCGCAAGTTTGCCAGTAAATCCATAATCACCAAACAAAACATCAGCAATGCCTTGGCCTTCAGTTCCTGGAAGCCAGGCAGCGACAAGAGCATCCATTGTCGCGACATAGGGCTCAATCACAACAGGGCGGCCAGAGATGACGATGACAACGCATTTAACAGCACCACATACGTTTTTTATGGTGTTTGGCCCGGGATCTATCATCGTCAAGCTCATGCTATCGCCAAATGTCTCAACGTAGGTTGCTTCACCCACGACCACAATGGCGTAGGCGAATTGGTTGGACTTGACAAAGTCTGCGTCTGGGTTTTCGTTGTAGATGACTTGGGTAGTTGGATCAACAGTGTTTTTCACAGCAGTTAAGATTGATGTACCTGTTAATGAAATGTTGTTTCATGAGACAGATGAAATGGTTATAATAGTAGTGTTGCAGTAGTTATTTTGTTTTTTGCTTTTTATATCCTTCTACACTAGATGAAACTACAAAAAAAAAAAACCATTTTAACAAAATTCATTGAAGAAAAAAAAAATATGTGACTTCTCATCTGTTGCCAAACAGAGAATGTATGTAAGTGACTATCCTATACAGTATAAAAGAGCGATTCAGTGTACAAGACTCTAATCCAATATAATTCCCATTGCACTGGTTAAGAATTAATTTGTTCTTGAAGAAAAGTTTTGTAAATCATAAACATTTTAATGAAAAATAAACTTGGAAAACATACCAACTATGAGATCATTGCCACTAACACCCCGCCATTCAACTGTCCATCCTCCACACTGATAACCCAAGTTGTCGGCATGACTTCCAGCAACAAGTATCTTTTGCACCTTTTTGGGAAGCGGAAGCATTGGCTTATAACCAGCTTTACCGTTCTTTAGAAGCACGAGTGATTTCCTCACAGCTTCCCTAGCCAATTCTCTATGTTCCTATTCCAAGTGAATAGAAAATATAACAATTAATTATATATATACAAAAATTAAAAATAAAGAACAGATATTCGAGTTCACAATGATATGAACCTTGCTTCCCAGTTGGTTGACTAAGCTATTGTCAGCCATTGGATTTTCAAAGAGTCCCATGACGAATTTGACCCTCAAGATCCTCTTCACAGCATCGTCAATCCTGCTCATTGGGATGATATTGTTCTTCACCTGGAGGGTCAAATCATTGATGAACTCTGTAAAGTCGTTCGGGACCATGACCTACAATTCAAAAATAAAAGATAAAATGTCAACTTGTATCAATTTTTTCAATGATCATAGAATAATATTTACTAAATTCTACATCACAAATGCAATTTGACTGACCATGTCGATTCCAGCAAGGACTCCAGCTTGAACAGAATACGAGTAGTTAGCATGGGGCGGGGAGGTAATTCTGTCAATACCCTGCCAATCTGAAATGACGAAACCCTGAAAACACAAGAATAAAAAAGAATTACAGCTAGAATTTCGTTCCACTGATTTTCAACTGAAAAATCACTAAAAATATGGCGCTGCTAAAGTTATTTTTGGAATCAAAATTGTGTGACAAAGCTTCAATCCTAGTCAGTTGTGTGCTTTATATAATCAACAATAGAATAGATTTTTTTCGTTTACCCTGAATTTGAGCTTGTCTTTGAGAAATCCAGTGACAAGGTCACGGTTAGCGTGCATCTTTACTCCATTCCAGCTTGAGTAAGATACCATCACTGTCGCAACACCTTTCCTGATAGAGTCAATGTATGCGGGCATGTGAATGCTGAGCAATCCGCGGAAGTCAATCACGGTGTTGTTCTCATTTATGCCCTTGGTTGTGCCACCATCTCCCACAAAGTGCTTAGCACAGGCTGCAACTCTTGTCCTTCATTAAAAAAAAATAAAAAAAAAATATCAGTCAGGCGTTTGCTTTTAATGGTTTTCAAATTAATCTTAGAAACAGTTCGCCCATGTGATTTTCCTGGCCACGAAACATGTAAATCATATTTCTACAAAATTGAAATAAGCAATGACACATTTGATTTCTCAGTCCAACTAACTTTTTACATTTTTTTTTTTTTTTGGGTACAGACGAAACCTTTGCAAGCATAACAGATAAACATTTAGATAATATTGTACATGGTATATAAGAAAATAGAAAGTGATGTGAAAATATATAAGTAAGAAAGTGATGTGAAAACAGTAGAGAAGAGGGAGAGAGAAGAACTCAAACGGTCAGTCTTTCTTAAACTCAATATCTTATAAATCAAAAGCTGATCATTACACTGTAAAGCTTAGCATATGTAATAGTCTATTAACTCTAGTCGAATAGATAATTATCCCTATTATTATTTGGAAACACAATCAGAAATATCTTATAAATAATAATATAACTAATCTAACTAAATATCAAAAATATTAATTTATCAATGACATTTATGAGACTAGAAGGTCTTCAGGCTCACGGACTTCACCCTAGGTCCAATAATGGACTTCCAACCAGTCAAGGGCTGCGCCATCACAGCTAGCTACCGAACCGTCACATTCAACTAGAAAATGATTAGAGTGACACGAGGAACACATCCTATCAAGTTACAAAAAAATGAAGCTAAAATATAGGGGACAAACTTTAATATTTTTGTCCTTTCTCAATGTCCATTGTGCAACATTTTAGCAAATGTTAGGCCCACCATCATGTGATTGGCAAATATATGTCCACAAGCAATTAATCTTACATGGAAAGTATTTTAACTTTTGAAAATCGAATGAGAAACTTCAAGGTCAAAAGATTTGCACTCCACGTGATGATAAAGTATATGCTAATCAAAGAGTTTGTCCGGGACCATTTAATTTAAGCAGTACGAACACTTCGGAGACCCCTTTTGAAAAGTGGATTATAAGTCCTTATCCAAATTATAACTCACATTCTCTCTCATAAAAAAAAGTTACTTATAATCAATTTTTTTAAATTGATTATAATCATCTTTCTAAAATAGTCCTGCGATAATAAAACATCGACACACTTCTTGACAAGTGTATCGTGTCACGTGTCTGTGTCTTAATAAAACATCGACACACTTCTTGATCTAAATAAGTGTACTTTTTATTTTTTTACGAAAAGATGTGCAGAAAAGTAAAGAAGTAATGTGATAAAAAAAAGATAAACAGATAAATTATATGGGGATGCCAAACTTGGCCTTAATAAAACATCACTAGTTAATAACAATTGTCCTGGTGGAAAAAGCGGAGAGAGGTAAAAGGAGATGTAGGTTCATACTTTCCGGAAACAAAAGGAACACCCTTTTGAGAATTTGCAGTAGGGAGATCGCCTTGTAAGCCGGGTATGATTTCAGTCATTTGTTGAACAATCTTATGATCTTCACTATAGCTTTCATAACACCGGCCCCATCTTGGATCCCTGCAGACCTGTAGAAACAGAATTATCAGACACCAAACCAAACTATAATTCAAACAAGGTTGTTAGTTTGTTGTGTTCTCTAATAATGTATATTTACCGCAATACATGGAGCGAAAACATAAGGGATTCCTGTAGCCCTAACTTCAAGTGCAGTTGCTTCCCCAATCTTCTTGAGAAGTATAGGATCCCTAAAAAGTCGACATAAATTTCAACACAGATCAGCCAACAAAAAATTGGAACTAGTGGATTTAAAATTGGAAGCAAATAAATGCAAGCGAGCACTTCAAGGTCGTCTAATTTCATTTTAACTAGGCACCACAGCTCGAAAGTTTGTAGGAATAATTATGAGTTTTAAAAATTAATAACTATACTTAACTCATAATCAAAATTCTATTAAAAAAATAATTTTTTTATTTAAAAAATTTTAAAAAAATCCAAATCAGCTTGTTTGGTTCCAGTTTTTACAAAACGGTTTCCAGAAAATTTTACTTTTTCATTTTTCGTATTTTAATATTTTCAATAAATTTTTTTAATATTTTAAGCAATTTTTTTAATTTTTAGACATAAATATACCTAAAAAGTAAAAAAATTGTGAAAAAAACCTTTTAAAAATTCACTAAATTTCAAAAATACGACAAAAATACGAGAATTCAGTACATTTTTTATATTTTTATTTTGTAAAATATTTTTTCACAATTTTTATACTTTTTAGATATATCTAAGTAAGGTGCATCTAAAAAAATAAAAAATAAAATATTGAAAATTTTAAAAATATTCACTAAAAATAAAAAAACACGAAAATATTTAGTTAGTTTTTTTTTAAAATTACTTTTGATTGTATATTTGTTTGAAAATTTATTTTAATTGTTTAGTTTAAATTTTTTTTTATTCTTTAAAAATTATTGTGACAAATTAATTTTTATTTAAATTTTTTTTGTTAATTTTAAATGAATGGCCAAATAATTTGGTCTAAAAAATAATTTCTATATGTAAAAAAATATCAAAAACAAATATAGATGTCAACTGCAACACAAAAAAATAAAAACAAAAACAAAAATACTATTTTGGTCAACCCACTAGACATCCAAAAAGATGTTTTCGGATGTCCGAGCGAACAACCGGGGTAGATCCAATCCCCTCTTTTCAAAATTCACTCCTTTGCCAAACATGTTCTAAAGTGAGTGTGTTAAAATGTAGTCTTGGAATCAATTTTTTAAAACTTAAACCAAATAAAGAATTGAAACATAAAGGTAGAATCATGTTTCTAGAGTCAAACCAATCATGTTTCAGCATTGGAAGGAGATCATGATCATTGGTTATGAGATTTTTTGCCATTGAAACTTTGCCCAAAATAAACATATTATGAGCCAATTCTTCAAAGTTCCTGCTGTCAATTTTTTGGTAAAGTCCAAAACGCTGAAAGTTTTAAATTACCTACTCTTGAAATTTTTGAAGTTAAAACACAAGCTTAAACAAACAAATCAAATGACCCATTTTTCAAGTTTCCCAGCTGTCAAATTACTAAATTTTCAACATACATAAAATTGAAAATAAATCAATACTTACGAAATCTCTTAAAGTCAAAAACCTATCCTATTCAAACACACAAGTTCTAAGTTGTCAATTTAGTATTACTTTATACAAAATTCCCTTTAAATTATCAAGTTATAATATAATGTATTAGTCACTAATAATTCTTTAGTGTGATCTTGAAAAGTGTTCACCACACACAGACCACACATATGAGACTACCAGGATTCAAATTCCTTTCGCATTTCACACGAGAACCAAAAGATAAGCATATCTAGGCTAATAAACCCTGTCAGGCTAAAAAACATTTTTAGTCCCAGAATCATTCCATAAATCAATGCTAAATATTGCTGCGAACCCAAAGAGAAATATTATGGAATCTAAAAAGGGTTATATCAACAATTTTTAGTCCTAGAATCAGCTCTACTTGCCTGGTAACTCCGAGCCCAACGTTATGAGGAAAAATGGTGGCACCATAGACATTGTTGTGGCCGTGGACAGCATCGATCCCATAAATCATAGGAATTCCAAGACGGGTAGAGACAGCACCCTTTTGAAAATCATTCACCATATTAACCCAAGTTTCGGCAGAAGCCTTTGGAGCCGGTACACTGCCTCCACCACTTAGTATACTTCCTGCTCAATTCAATTCCTCTTCTTCAGTACAAAATCAACACATTCACATAAACAATTAATGGCTCTAAACAACACTGAAAGTAGTTTAGACAATGTAAGAAACTACAGAACACCAAATTGTAGAAGATAAAAGAGTTTTTAAAATCTCTATTAACCAAACTCAGCCTCCGTTTGGGAAGTGGGTTGGCTTTTTGACTTTTTGGCTTTTTTGGCTATTTTAGCCTGGGCTTAAAAGCTTGGTTTGGGAAGGGCTTTTTAGCTTTTTGGCTTTTTTGAGTTTTTTTGTGAGAGAAGAATGTAATGATTATGGGTTGGATGTGATGTTTTGTTTGTTATGGCTAAAATAGCCTATTTTGTTTTTTGTGGCTAAAATAGCCAAAAAAACCTCCAACCCACCTTCCCAAACGGTGCCTCAAGCAGTTTTTAACTTATTTCAAACTCATGATGTCATTTCTATCATGAAATTGTGTTTTCAAACAGGACTACTTCCAAGTGTTTTCAAAAACAATTTCAATACCTTGTTTGATTTAGTTTTTAAAATTTTTTAATGGGTATGTATCACTTTTCTAATTTTTTGTTTCATTGTTATTAGTGATTTTTTTTTCTTTCATATTTTAATATTTGTTTAAAAAAAATTTAAGTGGATCTAAACTTAAAAAAGTGAAATATTTATCAAGAAATCTCAAAATATCACGACAAAACAGACCGAAATTTATTCAATGTGTTTGGTTTGAGTTTTCTGGATTAAATTTTTTGAAAATTGACTTTTTTGGTTTTCGTATTTTTTTGTTTTTAGTAAATATTTTTTAAATTTTAAACATTTTTTTACTTTTTTAGATTACTTAGATGTATCTAAAAAGTAAAAAAATTGTGAAAAACTATTTTAAAAAATTAATTAAATACATAAAAATACAAAAAATATATTGAATTCTTATATTTTTTTTTTTTGTATTTTTAGTATTTAATAAATTTTTAAAATATTTTTTTTACAATTTTTTTACTTTTTAGGTGTGTCTAAAAAGTAAAAAAATTGCTTAAAATATTAAAAAAATTCAGTAAAAACAAAAAAAACACAGAAAATAAGAAAGTATAATTTTTTGAAAAATATTTTTTTAAAAGTGAAAACAAGCAAGGCCATTGATTTTTTTCTTTTGTTTTGAGGGACCTACTAATAAGCAGCTTATTTGCTACAAATTATAACATCACCTCTTTATTTTTATTTTTTTTTCACATCCTTTTGTAAAAAAATCAATAAATTAAAAAAATAATCAAACTCCAAACCATCCAAAAAAATAAACAAAAGTATTTAACACCAAAAAAACAAACAAGATATGGATTTGAAAAATAAGTTGAGAACTATTTGAATTTCAGAAATTAAAAAATAAAAAAAAAACGTGGGTTTGGTAAATAACCATATGAAGATATATATATATATATACTAGTGGGTGGCACACACGATGTGTGTGCAATTTAAATAAGTAGGAATAAAAATAATAATAATGAAATTAATATTATAATGTGTATTTAGTTTAAGTGGTACGAGTCCTCGTACTTAAACCCATAGTCATGGGTTCAAGCCTTACCCATCTCTTTGTTTAACTTTTTTTTAAAAAATAAAAAATACTACCCATCTCTTTGTTTAACTTTTTTTTAAAAAATAAAAAATACTGCCACATGGCATGAGGAGAGTAAAGGTGCCTTGCCCATCTCTTTGTTTAACTTTTTTTAAAAAAATAAAAAATACGGCCACATGGCATGAGGAGAGTAAAGGTTCAGGACACCATAAGAGTTATGTGTTCAATTTATAATAGTATACATAGATAGATATATATGAAGAAATTGAATAATTTCTATAGAGAAATGAAGGAAAGCAAGATTGCATATACCAATGAAATACTGTTTCATGACATCAGATGATGCAACATTGCGCTCAATCTGCACCATCTGCCCAATCTTCTCCTCCACCGTCATTCGTTTCATTAGGTCATTGATTCTAACATTCAATGGCTGTTTTGGGTCGTTGTATTTCATATACTCTGCTTCTTCTGTAATGCCTACCCACAAGCTTAATAACACCACCACAAACCCAATCATGATGGGTATTGAAAATCTCCCCATTTTGGTGTCTCAAATCAACTATCTCTCTGCCTTCAAATCTGAAAAATCATAGCACAACCATAGAGTCTGTAAGGTCAAATCTAGTCAGTCTTATCAATATATATACACATTGATCTCAGAGCACAGCAAGGTTCACTGGAAAACAAAGAAATGAGGCAGGAGGAGAAAGTGCAGAAATGCTTTGAACTTACTTGATGGAGCTTCTTAAAGCTTGGTCTCAAATGGAGACTCTGGAGATATATATATATAGATAGATAGATAGAGAGAGAGAGAGAGAGAGATGTACAGAGAGAGCCTGGGGTTGGATGATATAAATAGATAGCTCTGCTCTGTCTTTCTGTCTTGCAGTTTCAGCTTTTTTATTTTTAAATCCAAGAATAATACTACGGACATCCCTATATTTTACCCACAAATTCAAATATAATGACGTTACAAGGGAATTGAGCTCATAATAGGTGACACTTCATCTTTATACATCATTGTTAATTGAATTATAATTAAATATTTAGAATATCAAATATTGTGGGAGTAATTTGAAAAGTTGATTAAAAAAAAAAAATTTTATTTTTTTATGTGTAAAAAATGTAAGAGATGATGTGATTTAAAATGAATTAAAAGCTAGAAGTTAGTTTTTAGCTAACTTTCCAAAAGGTTTTGGTTTTAATTTTTTAGATTTAATTTTTTTAAAATTAAAATTTTTATTTTACGTATTTTTTTATTTTTAGTGAATATTTTTAAAATTTTAAGTATTTTTTTATTTTTTTAGAAATACCTTAATTAGATTTATCTAAAAAAATTAAATATTTTAAAAAATTAATAAAACTATAATAATATAAAAAATGTATTGAATTTTTATATTCTTTTTATAGTTTTGGTATTTAGTGAATTTTTTTTAAAAAAAATTCATAAATATTATATTTTAAGTGTATTTGTGTTAGGTGTATTTAAAAATTTTAAAAATTATTTAATATATTAAAAAAAAGTAAAAACAAAAATATATATATAAAAATAAAAAATTTTAATTTTTTAAAAAATGAATTTAAAAAATTCAAACCAAATAAACTATTATTTTCAAAATATAAAAGAGGTGCTGTTGTTGTTGGGTATTGTGCGATTTGGCCGACTTGGATAATTTAAGGGAGAACTGCTTTGAGAGGAGAAGAGGAAAAAATTACTAAAACCATAAAGAGCGTAAATTAATTTGTGATGGAGATGAAAATTTATGAGGTGCAAATCGCACTTGTAAGAAGAATTAAGACAAAATATATAGAGTGTAAATTTAGTAACAGTAATAATGAAAGTAGGGAAGAAGTGAAGATTGAGAACTAAAAAATTGCTTAAGAGTGAACACTTTCGTTATCTAAGGTCGATTATCACAACAGCAGGAGAGATTGATGCAGATGTGGCCCATAGGATTAAGGCGGGATGGTGTAAGTGGAGAAGTGCGTCTGGGGTATTGTGCGATAAACGAATACCCACTAGACTAAAAAGGTAAGTTTTATAGAACGGCTATTATACCAGCTATGTTGTATGGGACGGAGTGTTGAGCAACCAAGAAACAACATGTAGATAAGATGAGTGTGGCTGAGATAAGGATGCTAAGGTAGATGTGTGGTAAGACTAGACAAGACAGGATTAGGAATGAGTGTATTCAGGAATGGGTAGGAGTAGCACCGATAGAAGATAAGTTGAGACAGAATCGTTTGAGATAGTTTGGTCATATTCAACGGAGATCAACAGAGGCAGTAATGAAGAGATGCGATGCTGTAACGGTAGATGGAAGTGTTAGGGGACGGGGTAGGCCTAAATTAACGTTGACTAGCGTTTTAAATAGAGATATGAATCTACTTAATTTGACTAATGAAATGACCTTTGATAGGACCGCGTGGAGAAGAAGGATTCATGTAGCCGACCCCATTTGATGGGACTTAAGGCTTGGTTTGGTTTGGTTTGGTTTAGATTTTTCTTTTCTGATTTACTGTAAAGTAATTTTTCCATGATTTAAACTATTTTTTTATGAAAAATAAAATAAATTTATTCAATAATTATAACATATGATTTTATCAGATTTATTTGTAAAAATATAAATAATTTATTTGTAAAATTATAAATACTTTATTTTTTGCAAATACATATTTATTTATTAGATAAATTTAATTTTTTTTATAAATAATTTACGCACTAATAGAATGTTAAAATGAGACTTATGGTGCTCCTTTATACTTTTGTGGACTGAAGCAATACACAAAATTATTACAATTTTTTTTTTTTTTAAAAAAAGTCAGAATTATAATAAGTTCTACATAAATATAAGGGCAAATTACATATACACCCCTCCAGGTTTGGTTAAATTACAGATACCCCCTGAGGTTTCGGAAATTACATCCCGCCCCCTGAGGTTTGTATTTTCATAACAATTTACCCCCTGAGGTTTATATTTCATAACAAATTACCCCCTAATTTCTTATGCAAATATAGCATTCAGGGGGGAATTCGTAATTTCTCAAACCTCAGGGGGATATCTGTAATTTTGTCAAACCTGGAGGGGTGTATATGTAATTTGCCCAAAAAAGAAATATTATAGTATGAAAAATATTTTAGAGCTCTAAAACATGGGCTCTAAAAGAGTTCCAAAGTGCTCGACTCCACTATGATGTGATGTATGTGCTAGTTTTTTTTTTTTTTCCACTGTTATATAACTAGAGCTCATTTTATTATCTTAAAATATTAATTCATTTTCAAAGATCAAAAACTAAAATAACATAATTTTTTTATTTTGTCATTCTTTTAAATTTATTAATATTATTATTTTGAAAGTGTAATAATTATGCTATCAAAGAATAATTTTGGGAAAGTTAATTAAAATTTGAAGTATAATACTAAAAAAGTTAAATTTTCTATAAAAATAAAAATAAAAAAACTAATATTTTGAAATTGGGGAGTATAAAATTTTTGATAATTTTTTTTTTAAAAAAAAATCCTAACATTACTTGTTTTTCAAAGGGTTAAGCTTCTGTGCAGTTTAAGATTGGTCTAGAACATTTTGTTACGTCTATGGAGCCTATTACGGATCTTATTTTGATAATAATGTGTAGAATTTATTGATTACTTAATCTTTATGAAAAATTACTTTAATCAAATATCAATAACTATTTGATCAAATAATACTTTTGTCAACAGTAAGGCTTGGTTTGACATATTACAAATAATTCAAAAAGTCAAAAAATTACTAAAAAAATTAAAAAATTACCACTATTTACTAAAAATAATAATAATAATAATTTTATACATTGCAACACATTCTGCCGTCCACAGACTTTTGAAATGCCGTTCAAAAAAAAAAACTTTTGAAATGAACTTTATGGAAAAATTGCACAGGATCAGTTCACAAACAACAAGGTCTTGTTCGGCCCGTGGGGGCCATCATGGGTCCCGTTTTAATAATATGAATCATTTAATGTGTAGAACTCGTCAAGTACTATATGTTTACAAAAAATCACATTGAACGGATATCGCTAACTGCATGATCGAATCAGTTTTGTATAAAAAAATAGATGGTGTTATAGTTAGCGGTTGAAAAAAAAATTAATCCGATCAGATAGGTATCGATATCCGATCAACATGATTTTTTACAAGCATTTAGTACTCGACGATTTCTACACATTGAACAATTCAGATTATCAAAAAGGGACACGTGATGGCCCCCACAGGCCGAATTGTACCGTCCAATGCAAGGCTCGAAAAGTAGGCAACAATTTCTTGTTTCAAACTACTCTGCCAGATAGGTCGGCCGTACTGCTACTCTCCCCAACTTCGCCTATATAAAAGTCAAAAAGTTAACTCAAATATTCATATTTTTTTTCTTAATTTTTTAGTCTAAAAAAATAAAAAGTGCACTTATTTAGGACACTCCAAACAACTCTTAAATATAATTTTAAAATAAATTATTAACAGAAATATAATAAGATCAAATAACTATTAATATTTGATTAATATAATTATTTGTAAAAATAAATACTCAAACAAAATCTATATATTAAATAATTTAAATTATTAAAATAAGACTCATAGTATATTTCATGTATCCGAACAACACGGTCTAGGCCACTATGTGGGCGGTAGAGAATCTGGACCTTTTTCAAATCCACCAATCCACGTCCACCAATCAATCCCCTGACAGAGAACGTGGAAAAACACAACACGGACACACGTATTCATGATTTTTTTTTTTTTGTCTATTATCATTTTAAATTTTTTTTGTCCATTTCTTTACTGTTATTATCATTTCATTTCTCTCGTTTCTCCATTTTGTTGTTTTGTCTTCCCATGATTTTTTTTTTTTTTTAAGAGCCAGCTTAAGCCCCATTTTGAAAAGATTTCACATTTAAAATTAAAATTGTAATGATATTATGTTTTTTAAAAATATTAAAAAACGCGGCACATTATCGCAATATGCTACATATTAAAAAAAATCTTCACTGGTTTGATATATGTTTGCATAAAATATTCATTTTATTTTTTTTATTTTTTTTTTTGTAAATTGACATTGGAAAATAACTCCATATATTAACAAATGCTTAATCTGTTATTCTAAAAAGATTAACTTCTATAAAACGATTCTATCAATTTAGAATAGATTTCAAATTTCAGAACCCTCTTCAAAGTTTGACATTACTCCCAAATTTTTTAATGATTTTTTCAATAATGTTATTTGGCAAGGAAGGTAAGGGCATAACTTCTCTTCAATCCATTATTTGGATGGGAGGGTATTATTCAGATTCGTGTGATTCATCATATGTCTCGTTTTGATGATATAAATTATTTATGTTATTATGCTTAAGTGTATATTATTCATTCATTAAAAAAATTAAATCTATCCAATATTTATTACTCATTGATTTTACTGCATTTGTACCCAAAAAAATTCTATTTTTAATAACACATTGATCGTTAATTTTTTTTAGACAAATTCGATAAAATGCAAGGGTTACGAATTTAAATTGGCCTAAATTTTTTTATGAATGATATATACGCAGGAATCGATAAAATAAATTATTTGAATTATCGCATTTGAACATGTGGTAGACCATACTGGCACACACATACCCTTTAATCCAAAGCCCAACTCGATTTGAGTAATACTAAAAATATCAAAATCTCTACTAAAGATTTTATCAAATGTCTCATATGGATATGAACTTCATATAAGTGCGAGGTTCACACTAATGTGAGACATTTGATAAAATCTTTGTTAAAAAATTTGAAGCCTCTAACATTTTTTTTTATATTAAAAGTTCATGTCTGCTTGATATAATTTCTAATTATAATTTATTAGAAAAAAATTAAAT